TTAATTATATTTTTGTTTGTAAAACAAAAAAAGAAGTCTTGACTTTGCCAGTTTAAGGTCTATGGGCAAAAAATGTTTCTATTGTACAATAAATTATAACATACTATTTCTCTCAAGATATGCAACAAACAAAATTATTTAAATCCTTGACTGTTGCTAGGCAACAAGGTTAACCCCCCCTGTAAAAATTGATGTAAATAAATATTCATAACCTGTAAACATACAGGGACCTCAACTTTCTGCTAACACAGCAGAAGCCAAATTTGTTATTGCGTGATACCACGCACTATTTAGTTTTTAAAATCGATCATATACACAAGTTTCTCCGGGCAAAAAAAAGTGGGGAAAGTCGTTGCAACGATTCCGTTTCAATATGCGTAAATATTCAAGGTAATTTACATATTCAACGAAAACAGGAAGTATGACATCTGTCGATGTTCATTGCCGAAACACATCTTTTTAAGGCGAACTTCAGGGCTATAACTAACTATCTTTCTATTCATTTCGAATTCCTTTCCGATCGTCCAAAACATTATCTGATCCAGGAGTTGAAAAAATTTTGAATTTTCGTTTTGAATGACGTTACGATACAATTAGGTGACTGACTTTGAGCTTGACGCAGACTTGACATGAGGGTCATAGAACTTTAAATGGCCGGGAGATGCGACTCTCGGACTTCTAACACATTTTTACCGTAAAACTAAACTTTTCTACAAACATTTGACGACTGAGATTTTCGTAATCTGATTTCAATTTTGCAAGATCAAAGTGAATTTCGTCCATAAATTCGCTTACCTTGTCTTGAATAAGTAGTAATTAGAGTAAATTTTCTTCGCAACTCACTGCAGCGACCTCCGATCAGAATATACCCGGATTCAGATTCGCGCGAGAAGTGCGCAGAATGACTGCGCAAGTTGTTATTAAATGGGGGAGGCCATTATAGCATAAAAGAGCTGCGAAAGTGCATGTGGAAAAAACAGTTGTTTACTGATTCAGGACACGTCAACATTTTTATACATGTATATAATATGTTGCTATGTAACCAAAAATAGAGTTTCATAGTAGTTTGAATATACTTGCGAACATGAACGCATCGCAAAGGTAAACCTACGCTACCAATTGAAAAATTTAATGGTATAACCCAAATGCAAATCTACATTGTGATTGGTTGCGCGCAAAACTATTGACTATCAGCTGACAGATAGATGCAGCAAAACATCGGTGCAACTTCGCTTCACTGGGCAAGTATTTTTTATTAAATTTTTAATGAGTGTTAAGCTTCAAGGGAATCCCGATCACGACAAGGACATCATGGTCATACCCCTAACTATCGAACTAAATGCAGTAACAAATAGTTTCTAAATTTGAGGTCCATGTCTTGTTTGCACCAAAATCTGAACTTTTACAAACAATGTTGAAATGAAACTTGGAACGTGGAGGTAACAATATGTCTGTTAAATGTTAAAGTAATCATCAATTTTATCAAGGTCGTGACATCATGCATTAAACTTTATCGATCAAGTCAAAGTCAAAGTATTTTGCCCTCTTTGTCACTTTGTTCAATTTTCTCAAATCAGTCCAAATGAAAATACTCTTATGTCAATGGATTATATACTCAATTTCTTTGTAGATATTTGAGATCCCAGTGACAATGGGACAGGAATTCATAGTGGTAAAATGTTTTAGTTGCACGGTATTCCAAGTACAACAAGTTAAAAAGGCGAAAAAATGGAACTGTAAAATGTGTGGAAGTAAACAATCCTTAAAAAAGGTAAGCTGCAATGAGTGTCAGCAGGTGAATCCATTAATTCATTCATAAATCATTTTCCAATGCATGGAACATGAGTAGCCATGCAGAGAATAGCACTGTGCTAAAGGTATTTGTGGGGATCACAGGTTTGTTTGAGCACACTCAGACCTTCTAACAGTTCACCCCCATGTATTTGTGTGCATGGTTATCCTTTCTGCTGTTCATCTTTTAAAGTGCCTGTGAAATGGCTGCTATTTTCACGCCTAAAATTATCAATTGATACATAAATATTATTAATTTTTATGTTTCTAAGCATAAAAAATGTGTTTTAAACTCAGTCTACGGCAACTTTATTTTTGTGTATTTTAAAACGAGGCTCCTCATTAGCTTCTCATTTGCATACAGAAATTCCCCTTGTGACGTCAGAAGGGGAAGTCGCATGGCAGCTTGCATTGCCGATACGTGTAAATAAATTTTGGTTACATGGGGTTGAGTTAGATGCAAAATATGTCCGTTCTGGTATAGCTGGTCACCGTGATCATCACCGACACTGGCGCACGTTTGTACACTGTTGCTGGACAAAATAGAATTTGACGTCGGAATTATCTCGTTATTTAGCAGGTTACTAGG